ATAAGTGGGGATTATACCACTGTACATTATCAACACTAGAGCTAAGTCCATAGCTCTTGAAAACGTGAGTAGGACCATATACTCTTTTATTGCTTCTACCCCTTTCGGGACATACTATACCATCAGTTGTTATTTTCTCATTTCATATGATGTACAAAGACGCATCTACACCACTCTGAAGAATCCCCCACTACAAAAGACTGTATTCACCTCTACAAAGATATACCTCGTTGTTTGATTCATCTACCAGTCAGACTATGTATTCTGGACTTCTATTTGCTTATTATCTATCATATGTATTGCATTCTAGTCTGCCTATTCTGTGCTCTTTTAATTTATGTGGTTTATAGTGGCGCTGTCTTCCTTTCTTTTTTCTGAAGCATTTCAAAGCATTCAAGAACGTGAAAAAACAGCACATTTTATATATAGTGAGAACAACAAGCTTTGATTCATTAGTAAACTGTTGTGATAGTACTAGGCTACATATGCTTATGAAATTAATGGTTATGCTTAGAGCTAAAGGTATGTGGCATAGCATTTGTGAGGAAAGTAAGCATTGTTACCTTGTTAAGCAGGCTGAGACATATGTAAGTGGAGTACGTGTGAGAGGTAAGATTATGTGCCTAGGTTAATAGATTGAACGTACTCCTAAGGCTTTCACATGGTAAAACATAACATTAATAAAACATAAGATTAATAATGCCAACGAGTAAACAAAATTCTCCAGACGAGCGGTCTCTCTGTTAGGAAACCAGAGGCTCGATTTGCCCAGGGTGGGTCACCCTATGCCGCGTTGTGGCTGTGTAGAGCCCTGCTGAGGATGCCCCTGGAGCCGCTTTGCGGTGCGGTGATCGATCGGGTGTGTTTGGGGTGTGTTTGGGGTCAGCTGGCTGGACCGTGCGGCTGGAGTATAGTCACCCCTGATGCAGTGGGTGCTTGTGGAAGTCTTGTGTTCGGTCTCAATGGTTCCCTCCCCTTTACTGCCTTACATGGGAGAGGTGCGCGTTTGACCCTCCGCCGCCATCTCTTGGGGTGTGTTTGTATATCATATTGGAGTTTGAATGCAGAGGTGTGTTTGTATGTAATATGTGAACTAGATTGCAGAAAAGTGTTTGTATGTTGTGCTGGTGTTTGCTTGGATGTATGCACATATACTACCACATACATACATACACACTTACACAGATATACATGCACATTAAGACACAGATACATATAAATACACTGACACATACACACAAATACATACACACCGACACACACTCTGACACACGCACACATTAACAAACACATACACCGACATACACACACAAACACTTTGACACACAGACACACGCACCCTGAAACATACACACACCATGACACAGATACACACCCTGACACACCGATGCACATACACAGATGTGTGCGCACACACTAGCACACTGACATATATATGTTTAAGGACGAAGGCCTGTATTTGTGGGAGGAGTTAGCGTTCCTATATAAACACTACTCCCCCCTTCCTACCTTGTTGTACGCACGCTGTTCACCTCCCCTCGTCAAGCCGGACTTCCGGTTCCCTACAGCACGCTTCCGGTCCCGTCATTCCTCGCTGCCTTCCCGCCAAGCAGATTCACGAAACTACAATCTATCGAACGCCAGGTAATCAGCATGAATAGCCGCGTTCGGGCTATTCCCGCTGTAGCGGATGGCACTGTGCTGTCCTGAACAATTCATGTATTTCTATGCATACGTGTGAAAATGGCAAAGTCTATGTATTTGATGTATTGGATTCGTCTGAATGTTAGGTAGTTTCATTCCCTTAGTTTATTCGAATGAAACTACCGAACAGTCAGACCTCCCATGTGTGAAGTGTGTTCTCAATTATCCGTTGCAACATTGTTGCGAACGGGTAATTGGCAAGTGAAGTAGCCGTCCTTTGTTCTCGGAGGTGGCCGCCATTCGAAAAACGAATTTTAAAACTCCCGAACAGCTGTGTTTTGCCGTCGAGTGTCTGGAACTCAAATCGGACACTCGACTAGGCGAACACAGCTGAAACCTCCACAAGCCCGGTCCGTTCGGTTCCTAACTACCGAACGGCCCCTCGTTCGGTAGATAGAAAGAACCGAACGAGGGGATTCAGGCGAACCCTCCCTAGCCTCTATAGCTAGAGGCTTTCGTGCAGTTTGTTCCCTTACTCCAGGACTGACCGCAGGGCCCATTCGCATGGAACCGCATTCGGCTGTCTCAGTCAGTGCGGTCGGTCATTTTATTCCCTCCATAGATTTCCCGAACCCCTGGTCTGATCTGCGTGATTTTTGGATATGTTGTTCACCCAGATCAGGGCTATCAAGGGGTGTAGGATTTAAAGGGGTACCCCTACATTTAGGGGTACATCCAGAAACGAGGGGAATTACTGTACTGGAGAAAGGGATTATGATGCTGGCTGAGGGGAGGAGATGTGTGGGAGGTTACCAGGACAGGATTGGCTACTATACTAATGATTGTATATCCCTCCCTTGCATGGGAGCATGCTTTAAAAGGACAGTGTGGATTAAAGCTTTCAGTTTTGCTCCTGAAACTGTGTGTCGTCCAGTTATTGGGATTGATGTTGGGATATTGCTGTTATTTTACCTGCTGGAAACCTTGCCTGTGGATTTACTATTTACTTGTTCCTGAGCCTCACTTGGATTATAAGCGGAGATAACCTGGGGAATATTGCATCTCCGCTACACCCGCCGTTCGACAATTGCAATTCACCAGTCACACTTTCATACGAACAACATATGAACGCGTGAAACCTGCAAAACACAGGTTTCCTTTCGGCAGAACCATTCGTTACATTTACTTATTCATATTAATTACTGTACACCTATATACTTGTTGGAGAACTTGTTCTTTTGACGGTATCACCTTACTATATACAGGTCCCAACCTTGAAGTAGTTTTAAGCACCCTGGTAATGTGCTCTTCTACACATTGAACACATAGCTGTCACTCACACTCAGCTCTGTAACAATGCTAAATAAACAAGTATCTCCCATGTGGAGCTCTATTGATCTGTTACCTGGATTCATTTATCCTATGTTTCCCTGCTGATCTAGATTAATCAGTTAATCAGTTTACCCCATCCTGCCTGATTTAGATTTCACTATAATTTTACCCAGTGTTTATTTATTGTTTTCCCATATTATTTGTGCAACTCTCACAGCCTACAGCGTGTATCGCACGATCAATAAATACCATATTAATAATATTATATCAATCGTTTATTCTTTAAACAGAGAAGTTTGGCAGACATAAGGTAAAAAAGCGATGCTCTAGAAATATTTTTCCAATATTCACCTAATATGACTATTTTGGCTTCAATCTGACAATTGAGTTTTCAATTCATTGCAATACAACGTTTAGGGTATCCATGTAACAGACACATATATTGATGTTTAGGGTATCCCCTTTTCTTCTTGTTATATGCTACCTCAATTTCAGGTTTCCCAAGAGCATTCACTATAACCTGGTTATTACTCCACTAATTTCCGTGTTTATCAGGTACTAATTAATCTTAATTCACGTCGCTATTTACTGCCTCTACAAGGTCACGCAACACCAAAAAGGGGTTATTAACATACGGGGGCTTGATTTCTCGCCTTGCCTCGTCAGGCCACGGCTTCACTCGACTACCCGTCATACGTGATCATCAACTCTATTTCGCAATAAACATCCTGAACTACTCTAACACCTTTCATTCCTTCACCATTTTTACCTCCATCAATAATACCACGCTTAAAGCACAATATTTTCAAGGATCGCATTATAGGAGTATTACTAACGTCAAACAAACGTTCACTCGTTACACCTGCTATACCTAGTTCCTCTCCATTATTCCATCAATATGTTGTATCGTGCAGTTACTGTTCCATCCGGCTAGGTTGAGTGAATCTTTAACAACATTGTCATTCTATTCATGTACTATTCTGGTAATTAATTATTTCACATTTCAATCAACTGCCTCAACAAGGCCAAGCATTTACACAATGGGGTATTCGGGTACGGGGGCTTGATTCCCTCCTTGCCTCGACAGGCTACCAGGGGAATCTTCAGCACCCTCAGGACCTAAGTATACAATACTATCAGCTATGTCTCTAAGAACTACACGGTGCTAAACGTAATTTTCTCTCTCTTCTCTCCCTCCACCACAGCTCATTTTCTCTTCTGTCTTCCTCCTTTCTCCCCCTTCCTTGATCTTTCTCAAGGTTCCTTTCACAAATCACGACTCGATACGCCAAATACGTTGCATTACCCCCTCATCAAGCCCCCGTCTAGGGTCAGAGAGCTGGCTGTCTAGGGTTAGGAGCTGGCCTTGGTCGTACAATGTAGCTGGTCCCGCGAGGCCAACTCCCCAATCTCAACACGGAGATTTTCACCCCTCGGCCCAAATCATAGTTAGAGCCCTGCATTCACCCACCTATCGGGTTTTTAATTAGGGCCTCACCTGTCACAGCCACACGTTTT